TGGCCCTACAACTGCTTACCCTGACTACAGTTCTGCTGCTTACCGTGTCCTCGATCATGTTGGTGGCCCTGGCCTTTGTACTGCTGGCTTCCTACTGGTGTACTGTGTCAATCCTTAGCCTTATGGCCGATCCTGTTATAATTAAAACATGCACCATGTATCCTGCACTGCTGTGGCGCCCTCAATTCATATTGTGCTCCCTTCTTATACTGTCATTGTTACTAGTGGTAAATCATTGCCCTGCTATTGGGGTCTTCTAAGTCTTGAAAAAAGTTTCTTGTTCTTGCTCTTATCTCCGGGCAGCTCTGCTTCCATAATTAGCTAATGGTATGTTTCCAGCTCCAATCGAGCTAGTTCTATCTATTTATCGAAGTAGTAGATGAAATCCTCCAATGAAATTGACATTCATTGCTCTTGCATAAACTGAAGTTGGTGCTATCCTCCAGCGTCGCCGTTTAAGTTGAATATGACTAACCTTTGCCTAAGTACTGAGTCGATGTTAAGTATATCTAAAAATACTTCTCACATATTCCTTTCATTTATAAACTATAACTGAACCCGATGCGTCCTAAAATTCTAGTGCTCTCAGCTTCTAGTATCTTCCTCAATCTTACCGAGCCAAGCTCCCTGCTCTTCGGCTCTATTAACAGCTGAATGCGGCGATGGTGAAATCGTCAGTATTACCTCTTCAATTGGTACAGATAGTACAACTGGAGGTGGAACTTCAGAAAGAAAAATCTCACTCCTCGAGTGTTGCTAGTCTCTACTTCTACAATCGGTGTTACCAAGTCGATTAGATACCATGGAGCTTGCTGCAGCTCGAGCTCTGCTTGCCCAGCTCTCTGGGTATGGGTTTTACCTCGACTACGTCCTCATCCCGATATTTATAATATCAAGAAGAGAGCTTAATTGACACAATAAATGAGTCGCAAACACACCACACCAAACAAACACACACGACATCACACACCACACACACAGCACACACACACACCACGAACACACACAGCATTATTATATATTATATATTATTATTATATATATATATATAATAGTTATATATATATATATTATATATATATAGATATTATATTGTACCATAAAGAATATATAATATATATATATATATTTATATATAGTTTAATATATAAATGTACGACGTATAAGTTTCACATTCATGCAAATACTTTTTCAATCAAAGTAAGGTAGTTGTCATAAAAAATTCATAATTTTTGAATAAATGTATATAACGTCTTCACTCATTCTAGGAATTCCTAGCGGACTCTATACATGAATCCTAAGAAACTCTATTCTAGCCCCATGACTCAACACAGGATTATCCTAAGGATGCCAGAACTAGAGCTCTGATACCAACAATGACGACCCCGGGTTCACACAAGACTACAGTCCAAGATAAAACCAGAGATGTCAAACCTACCATGCACTCATACTATGCAATAACACGTTTCACCAATCACAGTTATATTCTCTAGTGGAATCAAATAAAAGTGCGGGTACAAAACATGCAAAATAAAGGAAATAAATGCATTAGACATGATGTAGAAAGAAATATCTCATAAATAAAAATTATGTCTCAAGTGAAATACATCTGATCTCTATAAATAATGAAAATGTCTCAACATGAATCAACTAAAAATCGTACTAAGGCATACTGTCTTTATAATATGTAAATGAAACTCTAATGTCTGAATAAAAATATAAAACTACAGTTGAGCCTGTAGTGATAAAATCTGCGATGGCGACTATGCTAGAACTCCGTCATCCTGTGGCCCACCGAAACTCTGAGCTGCCTAAAAACAATTTACAATAAAAAAAATAATAAGAAGAGTGTCAAAGCACTATAGCAAGATCACCTCCATCCGCTTACAGGGAAAGGACTGCTAGATGAAGTGGAGCCTCTATCTATTAAGCATAGTCTACCTAGATTATTTTTATTGTATCTAATGGAATTAATATTTAGACACTTACATGATGAGATAGTATGTCGAGCGAAATAATCCAATTAAGGAAACTCTAATGTATATACCATATGTCTCAAATTGTAGATATCTAAACATCAACACCAAACTAGATATAAACAAATCTAAATGAAATTAATAATTAGAAATCCACAACATGAGACTGGTATCGAATGAAATAATCCAAACAAGGAAACCCTTATGTATATACCATATGCCTCAAATTGTGAATCACTAATCATTGATTCCAACTAAGAAATAAGAAAAAATAAATACAAAAATGTAAAGATATTAAATATCATATTTATGATATCTTTCACTATCACTAGAAAGATAAAATAAATATCAACAATAATCCCATGTACTTTCAAAACCCAAGTACCTCGGTCATATATCTCGACGATGAGTCATATTTATATCTGGCATCCACCAAAGGCTCAGGCTATCAACAATCGTCATAATGCAAATCCTTTCAAAATTCTGATTCGTCGCATTACCTTGCGCAATGGACTACCCTGTAAGTATCCTAAACAGTGTACACGGCTCATTAGTCTCATTGCTATCTCAGTGCGTAACATGAGTGTGGTACGGCCTACCATATAGGTTTCCTAAAAGACAGCTCCCAAGCCTCATCGCACCCTCGTACGGACGAACTCCTAGACAAAGCATCCAAACCTGACTTAATGGCTTATACAAATAGAATATTGACGCACTACCCCACATAGTACTGAACTGAGCTCATCAACGATATTCATCTCATGTATAAACTATGTATATCTGCTATATCGACGCACTATACCAAATAGTACTGAGCTGTGCTCATCAACGATATCCAACATATGTATAAATAACTCCAACTCAAGTGTAATCAACTCAACACTTGTCAAACTCCCCTTTGGGATACTTATATGTGTACTATGACACTATTTAGGTGTACTAATGACTGTACGTGTAACACCGTGCACCTCGAACCCCACTATCGCATTCAAAAACACAAGAAACAACACTCAGGAAACAAAACAGCATCAGACCGGTCGACCGCTCCTAGGGCGTCGGTCGACCTCTCCTAGAGCGTTGGTCAACCGGACAGCAGACGTGTACAATGTGCACAAATAGATCATCACTGTTCAACCGACATTACCCGATCGGTCGATCGGTCAGAGGTTTTCCCTCAGGTTACAGGCTTCTGTGTTTTTGCATCTTAATCAAAACTAGATTTTATAATCATGGAACATAAAACAAAATCAAAACTTTCACATATGATTAACATGGGTTGTCTCAAAGATAAACTTAAATTCTTGACTTATTCTAATTAGGGTTAACATCCTAATTAATCATAAATCTCAATGTAAAACATGGATTTACCAACATAATTAATTAAACATGATAGAATCTAAACATGGACAGAGATAAATTCGTTTAAATATGATTACACTACTTAGATATCACAAACCTAGGGTTTAAACATCTCTAATCAACATGTACTTAATTAAATAACAAAACTATTGTTTTGAACATGAATTAGGCATGATTATTATGTTAAAAACAAAATTATGAACACCATAATGATCATGATCATGAAACTATCATAAACAGCAAGAAAGAGTTACAGATCTAACATTGGGTTAAGACTTATCATCAAAAATCTGATTTTTAACACCTTAGGTTAAGATTAAATATGTAAACAACAAATTAAACATCTTAAAACTTTAACTAATAACAGGGAAAGGTTTGGATGAAGATGATCTTGCCTCAAACGATATGGTGCAACTCCCAAACACGCGTGAGCAGATCCCTCTTCAACCACGATCGCTAAACTCTGTTTCCTCTCCACAAACGCCTCAGGAAACTCTCAGAATCTCACAGGTAGGGTTAGGGTTTGAGAGGGGAAAGGGGTTGCTGTGACACTCACAAAATAGCTCTCTAAATTAGGGTTAAAATGACTATAAATGCTCTCATTAAGAACTAGGCCTGAATCGAAACCAAATCAAAAACAAAACACACCCGATTTAAAAACCTGCACAACTCCGTTGGTTGACCAATCACCACGCATTGGTCGACCAATTGGGTGTCATTGGTCGACCAATGGTGCCTGGTTGGTCGACCAATTGCGTTTGCTTGCTTGTGCATACCATGTTTTCCCTATTTCACTTCTATGCTCATTTACATGTATCGAATTGATCTCTAATCAATTCCTAGCATTCCCAAACATCACTATATGTTATTTATCACATTATAATATATTTATTATTATATATCACAGTATTTTTAAATTTACGGGGTTTTACATATAAAGTTGAGGGCATATTTTGTACAAAACCTCCCAAAGCTAACTGTTTTAATCTATTTATTAACTTGAATTATATATTAAATCATCAAAACAGGCGGATGCATATCAAACAATAGGTTGTTACAATTTACTTTGCCAAGGATTTATTCAGACCAGCAACGAGATTGCTCTCGATGCAAAAGTCGGACCGCTATCTACCTACGATGGTCAACAATTCTATGTCAGTTTCCAAATATTAAAGGTGATGAATCTTTATCCCGAAAAAAAATCTTATTTATGAAAGGGTAAATTAGCCATTTTATTTATATAATTTTTTCCAAATAAAATCATATATGAAAAGTTTCAACAAATTTTTCCTCATTCTATGATAACTAATGAAACTACTAATTTTATTTATAGTAAAAGTTTTGTTGTTCAAGCGTCTAGATAAATCTATGTTTAGTCTCATCTTATGCTCTAGACTATTAGATTTGTCCAAATTTACCCCATGAACTATTCTTTGTACCACTTTACCTTCTCTTATATCACTTTCAATACCTAGATACCACTTTCCTTTTATTATATTAAGGGTATTTTAAATGGATCAAGTGCTAGTTCACGAGGTAAGGTGGGACAAAAGTGAGTTTTTCTTAAAGAAACAAGATGTAGATGAAGGAAATTTCTTTTGATTTACCCTCCATAAATTTTTCTAAAATATTTCTCTGACTTATCTACATTTCTCTACCTTGAAGGATAATCACAATGACGGCAACTGGTGGCTAACAATAAATGGCCATACGGTAGGATACTGGCCCAACACACTTCTCAAAGAATTACAAGGTGGTTCAAAGGTTATCGCATGGGGAGGTGAAGTATATAACTCTCACCATGGCAATGGGAGCTCCACTACTCAAATGGGAAGTGGTCATTTTGCAGGTGAAGGAGATAAAAAAGCTGCATTTTTCAGAAATCTTGTTACTTTGGATGATAATGGAAATGCTATTGAAGTTACTAGACCGATGACTATAGTTAAGAATCCAAAGTGCTATGATTTTCAGTTTGGTGGGCGAATGGAGTTTTATTATGGAGGTCCCGGCAGAAATCCTAACTGTCCGTGACAAAAAAATAAAGGCTTATAAATGTGGTGGTTATTAGATTTTTGAAGCTATTTGGAGTAGTTTTGAAGACATAAAATGTCATAAATTATGCAAAAAAATAATTTGCTATGATCATCTTGCACTTTTCTCCTTTTATTTGTGTAAGAACACTATAAGATTAAAAGCACAACGTGTCTCTTAATGTCTATATGTTTGTTCTACAATCTGCCAATGGTCGCTAGCTAATGATAACTCAGACTGCAAAAGAATAAACTCCACAATGAAATAATGCTTCTCAACTCAACAGATAATGGCGATAAAATAGTAAAATCATACTCTCTTTAAAAGCACGACTTCAAGAAAATCTTTCTGTTGATGCTCAAATTGTCTCATTTCCTCAGGGGAAATCGTAGTGGGACCCTGCTGCAGGAGTCTGGCGCACCTTGTGGTGGACGCTGGATAGCGGGTGCTCGTCGATGAATCAAACAACCGATCGGGTCCAGAAGAGGACCGGCTCCGCTCGTGCCGTCACCATCTTGAAGCCGAGGGAATTGATGTGAGTGGGGGTCCTTTCTTCGCATGACTCAGAGCTTGGTTGTTTGAATTAGAGGTCTCCAGTTGTACTGTATAGGCAAGAAGAACAACCATGAGAGGGTGGGGACCATTTCCCTCGTAGTACCTCTGATGGTCATGTCAGCTGGTAATCTTGAAGGGGGGTTTAAAGGGAAAGGTCTAAAGAGCTTTGAACTTGGGCGTTCTAGTGTGCTCTTTGAGTATTATTAAGGTCGTAGTGAACAAACCATCCTCTCTTTGTTGTGGATATACCTGCATATATGGAGGCTCGTCACGGATTGATTGGTCACCTGAACCATGCAGATGGCGGTGACGAGAGGGTGGACTGAGCCTAGGGGCTTCTGTGCTCGCCAAGTGTTAATTGGTGATGGGCGAAGAAGTCTTCCCTACCATTAGGAGGCATGCCTCCGCAATTTCCGAGAAGCGATTGATGGGAGTTGTAGGCAGGCTGCTGAAGTGTTCTCCGGGTGCCAAGTGTAAGTTGGAGATTGGAGGAGGAGTCATTTTGGCTAGGGGAGGTGGGCCTCTGCAATTTGCGAGAAGTGACTGGTCGTGGCCCATGTGCAGCGTCAGGGCGCCTGGCTGCCGAAGAGGAGGGTGATGAGATCTATCAGCATGGATTGCCATGTTGATGCATATCCGAAGAGGTTCCAGTCAATCCTTGTCCTTTGGGCAAGGAGGTGTCGCTCTCTAGTCGCCTTTTGGTGGCTTAGCCGACAAAAGGTGGGGGGGGGGGCGAGAAGGTTTCTAGCGCCGAGTCGGTCGGCTCATCTATCTCGTCCGGCTGATCCGCTCTGGCGATCATCTTTGAGGGTTAGGAGTAGACAAATCGGTGGGGCCAAGGGTTGCCGGGACTAGGCCATCAAGCTGGCTAAGAATTCGCTGTCTGCACTCACTATAATCTTGCCAAGACTGTATATTAGGCGATTGACACCATAACAGTTGGCCCTTTTTGCTTAGAGTCGGCTTTTAGTCGGGTCCGAACAAAATAAAAAGATGCGTCAATCTGCTCCCGTCTCAGGAAACTTGATGCGCTTCTCTAGGGATTGTTGCTGACGTCATGGTACTGTTTTGCTAATGAGCATGATCTCCTTTTTTATCCGCTGAGACCATCAAGAGTTTGAACTGCCTTTTGTGGAAATGAAGCATCTAGAATAGCGAAAAAAGGGGGTTCTGCTTCAGAGGCGTGGATATGTGGGGTAATTAACGAGGGCGGCGCCTCGCATCTCGAGCGAACCATTTCAGATTCCAAAGTGGATCTCAAGTGGTTGCTTCGGAGATTGTGACGTTCCTTCGAGTTCTTCCCCATTCTATAGAGATTTCTATAAATAGCCTCTCTTTGGGCTGGGATAAGTTTTCCTAAGAAACGATGCTGCTGGAGATTTGTCTTTTCTGGCCATTTTAGCAATTTCCATGGCTCTTTCAATTTCTACTTCTGGCAAATAACGGAATAGGTTTACTACCCTTCGGATGCTTCACTTGAGGGTGAGCATGGATGAGGTGGGCCAGTTGTACGAACGGTACAACATTCCCCGAACTCTGAAGCTGGGAGCATCGGAGTGCGTAACGTCGGTCTATGCCCATGGGGAGGATCGAGTTCCTCTATATCTGGCACATCTGAGGTACGGGGTGCAGCTACCCCTACACCCTTTTATTAAGGAGGTGCACGCCACTCCGGGGGTTTCCCCTTCCTAATTTTATCCAAATGTAGTGGGACTCATGGTAGCATTTATAGATGTCTGTCATGGGGTTAGAGTTGGGCCCAACATAAGGTTGTTTGGGCATTTGATTAGTGTGGGATCTGCAGAGGGCGACCCGCAATATTTTTACCACTATAGGGGTAATTTCCAGCTTGTCCTTGACCCTCCTGAGTTGGATGAGTACTGGAAGAGACTATTTTTGTGGTTCTATGGCACTGACAATATCCTCGCCTACTCAAACTGGTCGGAAGTGAATGAGGATATACTGAGGCCATTTACGCTGAGTGATCACGAGGCCAGGGACCTCGAGAAGATCTACTCCCATACTGGGCTACCGGGGGTAGCGTTCTCTGCGGGGAGTGTTATCCAGAGTGGGGGGGTTCCCTGATTATCTCCACTGACCTCACGGTAGCTAGCAGCCCTCCGCCAATGGAGGTCTGTAAAAGAAAAGCTGACACCGCGAAGGTGGGTCTCTCTGGGAGACCATGTAGGATCTGAAATAGATACACTAGAACACTAGAGAGGGGGTGAATAGTATTCTTTTAAAATATATGCAAAGTAGATTATAAATTATAAAGAAAAAATGGCAATCTCAGAAAATCACAAACACAAACACAAAGTTTTATATTGGTTCCACCAACCCGGCGTACATCCAGTCCCCAAACAAATCCCACTTGAGAGTTTCCACTATGATTTTAAATAAACTTACAAAATCAAAAGCAAACCTGACCAATTTGTAAGTCCCTGCAAATTACAATATCAATTGACAAACACCTTGCCAATTTGCACACCAGTCTCTAAACCAAGAGATTAACACCTCTCACAAACCGAGAGAACTTTTGAAGCAACACTCAATTCCTATAAGCCTTAATTTATAGTGTTGTGTAGTAGTGGCTTAGGAATGATTCAAACTTTTGTAAATTACCTAAACAATAAGTATTTGAATGAGGATCAAATGCAATTTCATAATGAACTGCATCCCAATTTACTTGAATATTTCCCATAATAGCATAAAGAGCTTTTGCTAAATCTACGGAAAGGAAATGAAAACTCCCCGTTTTTAGAAACATGTTGTATGCTAGGATTCTAGCAATGAAACGGGGAATTGAACAGAGTTTATTTGAATTGTTCAAGGGTTTTCCATAACCCTGAAGGAAGATATGATTAGATAGCAAATTCTTGTCATTTATTTTGATGGAACTAAGAGTTACACCTTTATAGGGAATGTTAAAAAAATTTCCAATTGATTTAATAGTCAATTCAATTTCTATCCCTTTTACAAGTGTAGTTAATTTTCATGTCCACAAATTGTTTCCACACGGGTGATATTAGTGTAGAACAAATGAACCAAGAAAGGATATGTGAGTTTTCTATTTTTAGATGAAAATAATTCTAAGAGACCCACATTTTCAAAATAGGAACTGAAATTCGACGGTATGAAATCATCAAATTTGACAAATCTACCCGGAAGAACTTCGAAAGAGGATATATTGTTAAATTCTTCAAGCAAATCCGGACTTTTTAAATAGACCATAATTTCTTTATTAACATTAGAATGAGTTTGCTTAGCTTTCTTAGCTCTAGACATAATTAAGAACACGAAATAAACTTGACAACAAAGAAATGATTGAAAAGCTTACCCAATTTGATGAAACCATAGATGTAGTCGGCTATTATTGCTTGTAGTTGACTACAAGACCTGAAACAAGCTTTGAAACAAGGAATTTGTTGAAATATGGGTGGGAAAGATGAGATTTGAAGATGCCCTAGATGGAGAAACGTGGGTTCTGAAATGGGGAAGAAGAGGGATCAGTTTTTGTTGGAGAAGAATAAAATGAATTAGGGATTTTAAGTTGTTTTCTTGTAAAACAATTGAATGGTCAAGATTAGATAATAAAATAATTGTGTGGTTTAGATTTGATCTAAATATAACGTGATATGGCTAAGATTTGATCAGTTAATGTTGAATGGTTGAGATGAAGTTAATGTAAGTTAAACGGGTATTGGGTTGTGGATTTGGTGGTAAAAATCCAAAATCTAAAAACTTGTAACTTTTGTAAAACTGTTTTAAGTAGTCGACTACATGTTGGTCGACAGAAAGTTTATTTTCTGACTGTAATTGAAAGTAGTCGACTACAAGTCAAATTAGTCGACTATACTGAAATTTACAGAAAATCCTAAATGCAGTGCTTGTGCATGTAGTCGACTATAATGCAAATTAGTCGACTATAAAAGCTGTGTATGCATATGAACTTTAATTTAAATCATCAATTGAACATATACCTAATTCCCTTCTTAATTTAACATAAATTTCTTATTTGAAAGGCTTTGTTAATATATCTAAAATTTCTTTATCAGTACGTATAAATTCTAACGAAATATCACCTTTAAGCACATGATCATGTAAGAAATGATGTCTAATATCAATTAGTTTTGTACGTGAATGTTGAATAGGATTTTTAGATAAATTAATTACACTTGAATTGTCACACATTATAAATGATATGGGACAATTTATGCCATAATCTATTAATGTTTGTTTCATCCATAAAACTTGAGCACATGCAAGACTTGCAGCAATATATTCTGCTTCAGTCATTAATAATGATATTGAATTTTGCTTTTTACTAAACCAAGATACAAGTGAATATCCTAAGAAATGACACGTTCCACTTGTACTTTTTCTATCGGATTTACATCCAGCAAAATCAACATCACTATATGAACTTAAATCAAATGTGCTATTTTTTGGATAAAACAATCCATAATTTATAGTATCTTTAAGATATCTAAAAATTCTTTTTACTACTTTAAGATAAGATTCTTTAGGATTAGATCGAAATCTAGCACATAACTATACACTAAACATATTATCAGGTTTACTAGCAGTAATGTAAAGAAGTGATCCAATCATACCTCAATATAACTTTTGATCAACATTCTTACCATTTTCATCTTTGTCAAGTGATGTAGTAGTACTCATTGGTGTCGGTTTGCTTGTTACATTTTCCATTCCAAAGCGTTTGAGTAAATTTTTTGCATACTTGCTTTGGTTGATGAATATTCCTTCTTTTAATTGTTTAATTTAAAGCCCAAGGAAGAAATTGAGTTCACCCATGTGACTCATTTTAAATTCATCCTACATAGTCTTAGCAAACTCTTGACAAATATTGTTGTTAGTAGAACTAAAAATAATATCATCTATATATATTTGGATTAGTAAAATATCTTTATTTATTTTCTTAATAAATAACATTGAGTCAACTTTTCTAATTTTAAAACCTGAAGTTAAAAGAAAATTATTTAATCTATCATACCAAGCACAAGGTGCTTGTTTAAGACCATATAAGGCTTTCTTAAGATTAAACACATGATTTGGAAAACTTTCATATTCAAATCCGGAAGGTTGTTCTACAAAAACTTCTTCTTTTATAAAACCATTTAGAAAAGTACTTTTAACATCCATTTGACTACAAAAACTTCTTCTTTTATAAAACCATTTAGAAAAGT